CTTGGTTTGCCAGAGCAGGCACTTAAACAACTGAGCTAACCCAAAAGACCCCCTTCCTGAGTTTAGAAAGTCTTGTGCAGGTATGCAAATCTCAGTGTCAGTTTCTGAACTCTAAGCAGTTTCTGGTTGTTAAATTATACCTTTATCTAGGGACCATATTTTTATTGAGCATCTACACCCAGTTTTCCTAGAATGCCTGGGTGGCCATTGCCTTTGCTGCTTTGTTAGAGCAAATGAGGATGTTGCTTTGAATGGAGGCAGCTCTGGAGCTGGTGCCAAAGCACACACTACCTGTGTTGAGGCCTGGGTGGCTAAGGCACCTCCCCTTCATGTAGCTGAGGGGATGTTCTACTTTGTAGACCCTCTCTGCTTCAGGAACAGGAAGGCTTCAGCCCTCCCGATGGATCAGAGGAGCCTGATGTCAACATTCCTGAAAATCTGAGGTCTCAACAGCCTCACTTCACAAGAGGAGACCTTGCAGGTCTTTGTGCCCTGACACTGCATTCCAAAGGATTCGGCTTGTGGTCACAGTGGTGATGGGTGTGAATAACCTGCACATGTGACAATTCCCAGAAAGTCTAGGATGATGATGACAAACCTTCTAGACAATGGGTGCTGTGGTTCGCCACCTCTGACTGAAGAGTTCTCTGGAAGAAGATGTTAACCAAGATTAGAGATGGCTGAATTACAAGTCATAGAGACTAGAGCTTTGAGTGGAGAGGAGGAGAGAGAAAACAGAGGCTGCTGCTGTTTTTACAGAAGCTCTAGTGCTTAGCAAGGCTAGTGTGATCCCATCTGCATCAGAATCACTAGGGGCTCCTGTGAAGCAGGACACTAATGCCTGGTGTCTTGGTTGCATTTCTCTTGGTCCTGATGCTCAGGATTAAGGCAGGGAAAGCTTATTTAGCTCTCAGTTTGTGCAAGTTTCAGGTTGTAATGTGCTGGTTCCATGACAGGAGCACAAAAGTCCTGGCAGCAGAAGACAGAAAAATGAACAAGAGCCAAAAAGGGAGCAAAAGGGGCAAAAAGGGGGAGCAAGCCTCTTTCCTTCCCCAATACTGGGCCAAGAGTCAAAAACCCTCCCCAGGGCAGGTGCTGCCCTCCCACTGCCAATCCTAGCCCTAGACAATGAGCCCTAGACAATGAGTCTAAACTGAGTCGCCTCTTGAATGCCTGCGCCCAAGTCTGCATGAAGCTTTGAGGGGACACCCAGACATAAAACCTAACACTTAGCAAGTTCCCTCGGTCACTCTAAGGCACATCAAATTTTGAGAAACAATGATTGAGGCACAGAAAGTGACTCTATTTATAAACTTCTTCGGCAGCATAATTATGTTGTAACCTTAAGTTTTTAGAGTCTGGTAAGGACAAACATGAGATGCTCCAAACATTGAGATTTTTGTTCAAGCCAAGAGTTTAAAGGCAACTAAAAGGGGTAGTTTAGGAGTAAATATGGGAAATCTATGTCAAATGAGATACTTTACAGCAAATTTTTATTGCTTTTTAAAACAATAGACCTAAGCAAAAAAAAAAAAAAAAGGCACAGTTTTTTAAATTTGTTCTTAGTAACTATAGCAAGTAAACTGTTTTATGAATCAAATTTTTTAAGAAAAACTTTTTCTTGATTAATAGATCATAGGAGAGTGATCCTAGCTATTCTGTAGGAGGCCACAAGGTGGTTTCATCCCGTTCAGGTCACATTTGAGTAGAAAGGGGGTGACTGCCTTGTAGAAGGGCTCTGGATTTGTTTCTTTTTTTCCTTTTCTCTTTTCTTTTATTGTGGAGCCGGGGATTGAACTCAGGCCCTTGTGCTTGCCAGGCAAGCGCTTATTCTACTGAGCCATCTCCCCAGCCCCTCCGAAGTTGTTTCTGCACAGATCTCCTGCTTCCTGCCATGGGACCAGGATGGTTATACCCAGCTCCTTTCATCATTGTCCACTTCTGGCTGCAGCTGTAGGGAATCATAGTCAGTCAGGAATAAGCTGCTCTTAAAGGTAAAGCCTTTGTTTTCTCCAGTGGGGAAGGAGCTTTCCTATACTTCCTTGTTGCATTCTGGCTTAGACGCTGTACAGGTGTTTGTAGTCTAGGTGTTTTACACAGTCAAAGCTCTGAACACACTTCTCTCCTCGGTAGAAGTAAAATCCTCACCGAGTACGATGTTTCCGTTGCATTGCCATGAAGTTTTGCTTGCATTTGAAGGGCAAAAGATCAGCAAAGGCCAGATTGGGGGAACCAAAATGATGGGAGAAGCGTGAAGCGTGAGGTCCATCATTCTAATGAATTAGCAATATATCACAATTGCTTTGACAGGTTATTTTTGAAAACCTACTGAAGTCCAGCTACCGTCCTAAAAGTCCTATCTTTTCTCCCCAAGATTGTTTGATTCCAGGAAGGAGGTGAAGGAAAAAGCTGGAGTTAAGATGATGTGTAGATGTATATGAGAGACACTGAGGGGGAAGGGGGAAGGAGA